ATTTAAAGCTATATAAATTTCCCTCTATATATTGCTGTAGCTTCATCCTGTACATTTTGCTATGTTGTGGTTTTCTTTTTTATTCAGTTCAAAATATTTCCTAAATTTTCTTTCAGTTTCTTTTCTGGCACATCTAGAAGTATGTTGTTTAATTTCCGTATATTTAGAGACTCCTAAATTTATTTTTATAACCTGGATTCTAGGTTAGTTCTATTATGGTTAAAGAACATACTTTGTATGATTTCAATTTATATAAAGTTATTAAGGCTTATATTTTGTTCTTGCGAATGGTCTACTCTGGAGACTTTTCCAAGCGTGTGAAAATAATGTATATTCTGCTTTTATTATGATGAAATGTTAAGTCAAACTGATTGACAATGTTCATGTGTTCTGTATCCTTATTAATTTTTGTTGATTGTTCTATCAATTACTGAAATAGGGGTATTAAAATCTATATTATGATTGTTTTTTAAAACATTTTATTTATATATATTTAGAGAGTGGGGAAGGGAGGGAGAAAGAGAGGAAGAGAAAACCTGATCAGTTGCCTCTCGCATGCACCCAACCAGGAACCTGGCCCACAATCCAGGCATGTGCCCTGTCTGGGAATCAAACCAGTGACCTTTTAGTTTGCAAGACAATGCTCAACTGATGCTCAACCAAATAAGCTACATCAGCCAAATAAGGCTACAATTATGCTTAATTGTTTGTCCTTTCAGTTCTGTCATATACTTTGGAGGTCTGTTACAATATACATTTATACTTGCTATATATAGCTGACATATTGACCATTTAATTATTATGAAATGTCCCACCATTTTTTCTTTAGTCAAGTTTCTTTTAACAGCTATTGTGTCTGACAGTCATAGTGACCTTATGCCTCTCCTGTGTTTACAGTTTACATTGTATATATTTTCCCCGTTCAACTTATCTCTTTAGATCTAAATTGTATCTTTGAAGATGGCATGAATCTTGCTTTTTTATCCAGTCTCACAAGTATTAGTTAGGTACTGCTGTGTAACGAATAACCCTCTAACTTAGTACCATAAAACAATAAAAATTTATTCTCTTAACATAGTTTTCGAAGTTAGGGAGCTGGGATTGACTTTCCGAGAGGGCTAGGGCTCCAGCGTTCTCATGAAGTTAGAGACAGCCTGTCAGTGAAGTTGCAGTCATCTGAAAGGGGGGTTACCAACTTGACTCTGATGGTTACTTTTATGTGTTAACTTGACAGGACTAAGGGATGCCCAGAGATACCTGGGATGACATTATTTCTGGGTGTGTCTGTGAGGTGCTCCAGAAGAGGTTAGCATTAGAATCAGTAGACTGAATAAAGAAGATCCACCCTTACCATTGTGGGCAGACAATATCCAATCCTTTGCGGGCCTAAGTAGAAAAAAAAAAAGCAGAGGAAGGGAGAAATGTCCCTCTTCTTGAGCTGTGCTATCCATCTCCCCCTGCCCTTGGACATCAGAGCTCCTGGATCTTGGGACTTGGGACTCCAGGACTTACTCCAGTGTCACCCCACCCCCCACTCTTCTCAAGCCTTCAGCCTGAGAATCGGACTGGGAGTTGTGCTGTCTGCTCCCCTGGTTCTCAGGCCTTCAGGCTCAGACTGAGTTATGCTGCAGGCTTCCATGGTTCCTTAGCTTGCAGACAGCGACTGCGGGACTTCTCAGCCTCCATAACAGCGTGCGCCAATTCCTGTAATGGATTAATTAATTAATACTGGTTCTGTTTCCCTGGAGAATCCTGACTAATAATATACTTGTTGATTTTGAATATTATAGCCAAAATATCTCACTCTTGTTCCATTTTTAATTTTTTATTAACTTTTGTTCACATTTTAATCAGTTGGTTTTATTGCTTGTGTATATATCCATTTCATTATTGTGGACTTTTGAGTATTTGTCAGAATTCTTTATTAATGAAGGACACTAAACTCTTGTCTGTCACATTTGCTGCAAGCATGTCGCACATTACTTCCCTGTTTTGTATTGTCACTTGCATTTAAATATTGTTCCAAAGCTTTTCTGATGTACAGAAGCTTTTGATTTTTCCATAGTCAAATTTACTGACTTTCTCTTGCAATTTCATATGTTGGTTTTAATGCTCATAAAATTCTATTCAAGTCTGAGGAAAGATATTTTCAGTTCTTTGTACATTTTAAATTTTATTCTCTAATCCATCTAGAATTGATCTATTTTTTCAAAGTGTTGGATGAACAACTTGTTGGTGCTGTGTCATTGATGCGAGTTGACAGCCTAGGTAGACACCAAACTGTTGAATGCGATGGCGTGGATTTCTAGGTTCTCGCTCCTCTTCCATTCTAAGTCTGTGCTACTATAAAACAAAACTTTATTTTAGTTTGATAGCACACATTAACATCTAGTAGGGTAAGTCCTACTTACTACACTTTTCTTCAGAGACACTTTAGAATGAATGTTTCAACTGTCCTTCTTCCCCCCAAATTACAATCCTCACTGGATTTTTTAAGTGACAGCTTTTATTAAGATATAGTTCACATACTACACAGCTCTCTCATATAAAGTGTATGAGTCAACATTTTCTAGCATATTCACTGGGTTGTGCAACCATCACTATAATACAATTTTGTTTGTTGACTTACCCTAGTAAGTTTTACACATATGTATAAATTGTTGTGTTATAATTTTGTTATATTGTTATTGCTATAACCAATATGCTAGCCTTTACTTCGGTCAGTTTCATGTTTTCTGTTTTTACTTTCCATGATTTCCAAATCTTTTTTTTTTTGTTTTTTGACCTTTACCAAATAGATTATATTTTCTTCTTTTTTTGATTATTACAATAGCTTTTTTGACTCAAAAGAATGTCACGATATAACTATATTTCAGTTGGTTTCTACATGGTCTTTGATCCATCTGGAATTATTGAATGTGTAGAATGAAGTAATTTGTATAATGAAGTAAGGCTTAGATTAATTTTTTCCAATTGTTAAAAAATTTCAGCAATATTTATTTATTTATTTAAACTTTATTTTTTATTTTTCTCTTTTCTTTTTATGCTATTCCACTGACTTGAAAGTTAATGTTCTGTTCTTATTCTACTAGTGACTAATTACAGATCTTTTAAGCACATGCTTGAACCCATGGTTGCTTAATTATCAATGTTAGGAATTAAATGTTATCTGTTGACTGTCCCCATGTAATAAGAATAAGATAATATAAATATTCTTTCTTCCTAGTGACCCATCCCAGTTTCTGCTGATACAAAGTTTTATTGTTATTCTTTGCCCCTCCTTCCCCAGACTTTGAGGCCTCTAGGAGGCCACTAAATCAGCATGGAGGAGACAAAGGCCAGCCCAGCCTGCAGAATCATTTTTTAATAATCAGTACAGTCATTTTTAGTAGCATTTGTTCTGATTTTGAAGTAATTACAAACTTATAGAAAAGTTCCCCAGACAGGCCCCCTTAGTGGATAGAGATAGGAAATGCTGGGGCTTTGGGCGGCTCGTATCTCGCAGTGCATCCCTCACTGTTAGTGCAAGATGTCAGTCAGCTTTTATGGAAACTTCCTCCTACTGTTAGAGGCACTTTGGGGGAGATAAAAGGGGAGAAGTCTCTGACCTTCTGGGGTGAGAACGTGAACGTATAGTGGGATGGAGGAGGTGACTGTGAAGTGGCAGAAACAGAGGCTCGAGGTGATGGGTGACCATGGAAGGGACTCAGCACACAGTGATCACACCTGTTGTTTATTGGGCACCTACTCTGTGTCAGGCACTGCTCTGAGCGTGTCCCACATATTAGCCCATTTGCTCCTCACAGCGATGCTCCGAGGTAGGTCCTATTATTACCTGTATTATAAAGATGAGGAAACCGAGGCACAGAGAGGTTAAGTGCCTTACCCAAGTGGCAGAGTTGGCATTCAAATCCAGGCCCTCTGGCTCCTAACCTTCACTGTCACCTGCCTCACTTAGGTGGGGATGGTCTTGACAATTCTACAAGAAGAAAGCCTGTTTTATAATCTTTGTCGGTGCATTTGGAGGGGAAGATGCCAGAAAGCTGAGGCACATCTGGATGCCACAGAGGTGACAAGGTTCTGCCAGGGCTTCTGCCTGCGCTGAGGGTGGAAGTTCTGCTGGGACAAAAACTGGTGAATTTCTGGTCTCTCAGAAGCTATTTCTCCCATTTCGTCCAAATGGCCCCAGCATCCTTCGGGGAAATGCTGCTCCCCCAGACCCTGAGCTGTGTGCAGGCAGTGCAGGGTGTCAAGGTGACCGGTGGGCCCAGCTCCCAGCCCAGAGCAGCCCTTCCATGATCAGCCCTGCCTGGGGCAACTGGGCTGACGTCTGCCTTGTTGGGGAGGCGATCCAGGTGGCTCAGGGTCCCGCCATGGATGGCTGAGGAGTTACAAGGATAGAGAGAAGGATGGAGAGGGACAGGCAGTGAGGCATGGACAAGATAGAAAGGCGCAGTGAGAAACAGAGACACAGGAGATACAGACAAAGACAAGCAAGCCAAAAGCAGAGAAAGAGAAGATGAGAGAGATGGGCAGAGTGAGGCTGACATGTTGAAGAGAGATACAATGGCAGGCAGAGAGAGCGAACGCCGGATGGAAAGAAGGAGAGAGGCACAGCAGCAGACACACTGCCCTCCCAGGCCCACAAAGGGAGACACGCTGGGACAAGGTTGCGGAAACGTACCCCTCACACTGATCTTCTAGGAACCCCCACAGTGGCAGCTGGTCCTGCCTCAGCTCTGCCCTCCTTCTCTCCTTCTGCTGGCCAAGCCCATTAAGCTGCTACCCTGGCCACAATTGAAGGCCCCACGCCCTGGGCAGGAAACCACTGAAGAGGCGTCCATGCTCTCCTGCACCCCAAACCATCAATTAGTATTAATGAGGGAAGGCTTCTCACTGCCTAAAGACCCCCACCGGGGCTCAGAAGGAGGGGAAGCTCCACCCCCATGACTCAGGTGGTTAAAGGGCCCAGGGCCAGCCTGTGAGTCCAGAGTGTTCAGATGGCGTGTGGCAGCAGGAAGGTCACCATCCAGCTGGTAGATGAAGAGGCAGGACCTGGAGCAGGGGACCCGAAGCCTTTTAGAGGCCAGAACTATGAGGCAATCCGAGCAGCCTGCCTGGATGAGGGGATCCTGTTTCGTGATCCCTACTTCCCTGCTGGCCCTGATGCCCTAGGCTATGACCAGCTGGGGCCAGACTCAGAGAAGGCCAAAGGGGTGAAATGGATGAGACCCCATGTAAAGTTTGGCTGGGGCCTGGGCTCCTGGGTCCGAGGGAGGAGGGGCCGGGGGCCTGGGCTCCTGGGTCCGAGGGAGGAGGGGCCGGGGGCCTGGGCTCCTGGGTCCGAGGGAGGAGGGGCCGGGGGTCTGGGCTCCTGGGTCCGAGGGAGGAGGGGCCGGGGGTCTGGGCTCCTGGGTCCGAGGGAGGAGGGGCCGGGGGCCTGGGCTCCTGGGTCCGAGGGAGGAGGGGCCGGGGGCCTGGGCTCCTGGGTCTGAGGGAGGAGGAGTCACTGTGGGGGACCAGCTCAGAGCAGGCTCAGCCTTCCTGGGTTCAGGAAGGTCCAGGGAAACCTGCCGCCTGCCCACAGGCTTTATGAGCCTCTCACCGTGTTGGAGGCGCCCATTACTCTGGAGCAGTGAGGGCAGGAGAAGACCCAGGCGTCTGACCTCCCAGTTGCTCCTTCCCTCCCCTTCTTGGCTGAGGCTGAAATCCCCATCACCCCCCAGGAGTTTTGTGCTGAGCCCCAGTTCATCTGTGAGGACATGAGCCGGACAGACGTGTGTCAGGGGAGTCTGGGTGAGACCACTGAACCCATCTAGAGCCCCCACATCCTGCAAGTTGCAGTTGGGACCCTAACACCTCTGCCCTCAGTGTCCCCCTCCCCACCCACTGGCTCGCCTCCCTACTCTTCAGCCTCCCCCTCATTCTCTCCTCTCCCTGGGCCTTAGTCTCCTTCTTTCCTCCAAGGTAACTGCTGGTTCCTTGCGGCTGCCGCTTCCCTCACTCTCTACCCCCGACTCCTGTGCCGAGTGGTGCCCCCTGGACAGAGTTTCCAAGACGGCTATGCTGGCATCTTCCACTTCCAGGTAAAGCTTGGCTCTTCTGGTCATGCCTCAGTTTCCCCCAGGTGACATGAATTCATAGTTGATACCGTTCCCTTGGGGCTGGAATTTTAGACAGGTACAGCAAGGCCAGGGGTCAGAGGCTGGGGCCCAGGACGGGTTGGGGGTTGAAGGCTGGAGGCCAAGCCAGGGCCCTGCCGCTTCCCCCACCAGCTCTGGCAGTTTGGCCACTGGGTGGATGTTGTGGTGGACGACAAGCTGCCTGTGCGTGAGGGGAAGCTGATGTTCCTGCGCTCGGAGCAGCGGAACGAGTTCTGGGCCCCCCTTCTGGAAAAGGCCTATGCCAAGTAAGGACCCCAACGCCTCCCCCAGCTGCAACCCCAAGTCCCAGCCAGCAGACAGACCCCAGCCACATGGGATCCCCGGAGACCCTCGACTTCTGAGGTCTTCTAGACACCCAGCTAAGGATCCCAAACCAAGTCACAGCCCCTGGGACCCTAATGCCACACCGTCCTCTGAGGCCCTCCAAATTGTAGACACCTTCCTCCACCAAAGCATCACAAAAAACCGTCTTAGAGACCTCTCAAACACCCAGAATCCTTAAAGGGCCTGAAATCTCTTGTCAGGCCCTAGAGCCATGAAACCTAACATTTATCCCCTTAGGGAATCTGTAATCTCAGATTACCTCTCTTGATCCATTGAGAAGCCCAAAGCACCCCCAAAATGTTGGGTGTAAGAGCTAGGGCCCTCAAATCTTTGTTTTTCCCCATCCTGTGGACCCAAAAGCCCCACGGGGACCACCCTCATGGCAGACATCTATCTCCAGAGACTCCGAGTATCAGATGCAGCCCCCAGGGTGCCACGAATTCTGACAGAGCTCTCCTGAGACCCCCAAATCATGTGGTCTTGGTGGCCCAGGGACCAAAAGCTTCCAGAGTGTGCCGCAGTTCCCCACCTCAAGAGCGTGCAAATTTTGGGAACAGGCCCTGGGACCCCACACTCTGGGACAGAGGTCCCCAAATCCTGAGATGCTTGTACCTGCCTCAGACACCCCCATACCAGACTTGCTCCCACAGGCTCCATGGCTCCTATGAGGTGATGCGAGGAGGCCACATGAATGAGGCTTTCGTGGACTTCACAGGCGGCGTGGGCGAGGTGTTCTACCTGAGGCAAGACACTCCAGGCCTCTTCGTGGCCCTGTGCCACGCCCTGGCCAAGGAGTCGCTCGTGGGTGCCACCGCCCTGGTGAGAGTTGGACTCCCGTGGAGACCCCCCCCCCCACAGTGCCAGTGCACGGTCACAGCTGCGGGGGAGACGTCACATGTCCTCCTTCATTTCACTGTTGGCTTATTCTCTCTCACAAATCAAACATGAGCAAGTCAGAAGGATATTTCTTTGCTTTCATAACTAATGAGCTTCAGGCACATCTGGATCCAGGTGCTCGGCAGACGTTGTGAATGTGTTTTTCTGTTCCTGTTTCTGGGTTAGCCTGTCAGGAAGGCTTTTTCCCCTCAAGGACACAATGGAGCCCCCCTCCCCTGCAGTTACCTCTCACCACCCCAGAGGTAAAAAAGAAAACTACCTCTTCCTGAGAATCTCAGCAAAAGTCCAGGGTTGATTTTAATGGGCTCAGTTTGGGTCATATGTTCATATGTGACCCTATTACATACTCATTCATTCAGTGTCAGTCTAACTTATTCATTCATTCATTTACTTAACCCTGGACTCAGTTACTCGCTTCACCTTTTGTGTTTCATTGCCTCTTTCCGTCTCCCTCTGTTCTGTATCTTTCGTTGTCTCTAGGTCTCTGTCGCTCTCCTTTCTGTCTACCTTTTGTCTTTTGTCTCCACATCCCCCTCCCTGCTTCCTCTCTTACCTTCACAGACCAACTCCCACCCCCGCTCGGAGTCCTGTGTCATTCAGTTGGGTGCTCTGGTTGACTCCTGCTTTGGTGGCAGGAGGTTGGGGGACAGAGCGAAACAGCCACCCTCCTGTCCCTCAGCATGGCCTCACCGTCCTCTCCCTGTCCTCTGCCCAGAGTGATCAGGGCGAGTACCGTACAGAAGATGGGCTGGTGAAGGGACACGCGTATTCAGTCACAGGCACGCACAAGGTGAGCAGCCCCCACGGGTGGGCGGGCAGGGGCTGTCCAGGCGCCGACCCCACTGATGCTGCCACTCTCAGGTGTCACTGGGCTTCACCAAGGTGCGGCTGCTGAGGCTGCGGAACCCGTGGGGCCGCGTGGAGTGGACCGGGGCCTGGAGCGACAGGTGAGATGGGTCTGGGGTAGTGGTTGAGGGCCTTGGCCCCACCCACCCGCCCCTCACACCCCAGGCTTCTCTAGCTGCCCACGCTGGGACGTGCTCCCCACTGAGTGGCGAGATGCCCTGCTGGTGAAGAAGGAGGATGGAGAGTTCTGGTGAGTAGGATGGGATCCCAGTCCCGCTCCGGGGAGGGACCGTAGCCAGTGGGGTACAGGGAGGGGACAAATCCTGCTTGAAGGGACGTGGCAAAAGTTCATGGGGATGGGTCCTAATGAGGAGAAACTGTCCATATGAGTGGTAATTTTGAGGTGGGTTCTATCTGAGGGAGTTGAGGAAGAATTAATAGTAATATTAGGGGGTTTGGAGGCATAGTGATCTCTGCGGGGGGGTTGAAGGGTGATGGATAACATTTAGGACAATTGAGGGAGCTTGGTGACACCTGGGGCATTTCTTGAGCTTTGGCGCTATTGAGGGGCTATTGGATATTTGTTGGTAATTGAGAGTCTGAGGGTCTTGATATTTGGGAGCAGAAAACAATTTGACAATGTTTGAGGGGAGTTTGTGGATCTTGGCTTTTTGGGAGCATTTCTGAGGACTTGGAGAAATCTGGAAGAGCTGGAGGGCTCAGAGATTTAGGGGTCATTCTGTTTGGTGGACTGAAGGGTATTTGGCAATACTTGAGAATTTGGGGGGCCATGTGATTTGGGACCTGGGCAGGGTCTAACTGCAGGCTACCGTCCAGGATGGAGCTGCAGGACTTCCTCCACCACTTTGACACCGTCCAGATCTGCTCGCTGAGCCCTGAGGTGCTGGGCCCCAGCCCGGCTGGAGGGGGCTGGCACATCCATATCTTCCAAGGCCGCTGGGTGCGAGGCTTCAACTCGGGTGGGAGCCAGCCTGCTGCCGGTGAGACCTGGAGGGGACTCTCAGAGGCAAGCAAGGGCACTGTGGCGGGCCAAGTAACCCCATTTCTTTCTCCTCCACTAGAAACCTTTTGGACCAACCCCCAGTTCCGGCTGACGCTGCTGGAGCCTGATGAGGAGGAGGACGAGGGGGACGAAGGGCCCTGGGGGTGCTGGGGCCCAGCAGGGGCTCGGGGCCCTGCTCGACGGGGCCGCATCCCCAAGTGCACTGTCCTCCTGTCACTCATCCAGCGCAACCGGCGGTGCCTGAGGGCCCAGGGCCTCACTTACCTCACTGTGGGCTTCCACGTGTTCCAGGTGGGACCTCTGGGCTGAGGACAGGCAACAGGGAGCAGGGAGGCGTGGAGGGGCAGGGGGCCAAGGGGAGATCCCAGAAGGCCAAGAGGAGCTGGAGAGGCTGAGGGCAGGGGCAGGGGCTGGGGGTTGGGCTCTAGCAAATGCTGAGGGAATCGGGGCGGGGGGCGGGGTCAGGGAAAGTCAAAGAGTCTCGGGGGGCCACAGAGAAAGGCTGGGGGTCAGAAGGGTCAGGAAGGAGTTAGAAGAAGCGGTGGGGCCTGAGGTCCATGGAGAGGACAAGGAGCAGAGAAAGCACAGATGAGAGGAAGGGGTCTGGGAGGGGCTCAGGAGGGATCAGAGGGGCTTGGACAGGGACTGAGGGCCAGAGCCTCAATGAGGGTGGAATGAGAATAAGAGGGAGGGGTGTAGGGGAGGCAGGGAAGGAACCCTGAGGCTCTAAGGGTCCCTTCCCCCACTCCCCTTGTTTTTCCTTCTTACAGATCCCAGAGCAGGTGGGTCTCTAATGGGATCCCAGATCCCAGACTCTATGCCTGAACCAGCCCCAGGGCTTCTGACAACCCGCAGTGGGGCAGGGATGGCCTGGGTCTCGCTTGGCATGATGGGTGATCACGTCGGTTCGTCTGGGGCGGTCTGGAAGGGTGCAGTGGGTAGGCGGCCGAGTGGGGTGAACTTGGGTGGTCATGGTCACGCCGTTCCGGCTCCCCAGCTGCTGGGCATCTGGGACTCCCCGCACAGTCGCGCGCACCTGCGGGGCCTGTTGTGCGCTGACCGTTCGCCCTTCTGCGCCCGTCGCGACGTGAGCCGCCGCTGCCGCTTGCGCCCCGGCCACTACCTGGTAGTGCCCAGTGCCGCCCGGGCTGGCGACGAGGCCGACTTCACACTGCGTGTCTTCTCCGAGCACCGCCACACCGCCGTGTGAGCCCAGGCCCTCAGACCTGCCCTCGGGATCCCCAGACCCGCTGCCCTAAGGGGTGGGGGGCGGTGCTGACCCACCTTCGGAATCCGCAGCCCCCCAGGATCAGCCCAGGGTCCCAGCATCCTGCCTAGACCCCACCCGATTTCTCTGCTGTGACCCTGTCCACCCCCAGCCGCAGGCGCGGGGTGAGCAGCCCCTCCCCCACTTTCCGGTCTGTAATTTGCAGGGAGATCGACGACGTGATCAGCGCCGATGTGCATGCTCTCACGGTGAGGGACTGCTTCGGGACGGAGCACGACAGGGCAGAGGTGGGGACCCTCTTGGCCACGACTAAACTCCTCCCATCCTGCAGGCCCCTAACAGTCCCCTGGAGCTGGGGTTGGAGCAGCTGTTTCAGGAGCTGGCAGGAGAGGTGAAGAGGGGCGACAGGGCTAAGAGGGGGCCGCCTTTCTCCTTGAACATCTCCGTTGCCCTGAATGTCTAATTTTCCCGTCTCTGCGCTTACATCTCATGACCTTCTCTCAAAAATGCTCACAGCTCTTTCCTGCCTCAGGGCCTTTGCTCAGTCTGCACCTCTGCCTGAGAGTTCTCTCCCTTCATGCCCACCCCCTGCCCTAAGCCCTCATCTTTCCAATGTGCCCCTCTGAAGAAGGCTCTCCTGACCAGGCCGGTCAGCCGCATGTCCGCTCTGGGCTCCCGCAGCCCAGGGATTCCCCGTTGCAGCCCTGACCACCTTCCCAGGACGGGGCCAGGGGCCAGGGGGCAGGCTTGGGTTCACTCCATCTTTGCTGTGCCCCCAGCACTACCCAGCACTACCCAGCACGCTGTTCGGGCTGGCCGCAAACCCCCTCATTGAATGCCCTCACAACCTGCTCTCTCCCTGACCAGGAGGAGGAGCTCGGTGCCCCTCAGCTCCAGACCTTATTAAGCATCGCCCTGGAGCCTGGTGAGTGGGGACTAGAGGGGACCTCAGGGGGCCGGGGGTGGGGCAGCTGTGTGTGTGGATACACGATGCTGCTGGGAATCAGGCCACAGGAACCCTGCACTTAGTCTTGATGGCATTTCCTCACACTTGGGTCCTGTGGCAAGACCTATGGCCAAGGCCATAGCCACACATGAGCCCCCTTCCTCCAAGTGAGAGGCAGTTAGTGTGGCTGCTGCTAGCACTCAGAACCCCCTTGCCTGGGTTCAAATCCCAGCTCTGATAGTTGCCAGCAGCCCTTTGGCTTTCTGCGCCTCAGTTTCTACAACATGGGATGCCGTGCTCTCTAGCACTCAGTGATGGCCAGTCCGTGGGGAGCTCGGGGTTTTTGTGTGTTTCCTGTAGCTAGGGCCCACACCTGGATTCCCAGAGAGATCGGGCTGAGGACCTGTGAGCAGCTGCTGCGGTGTTTTGGGGTATACAATGGGGGCTGTGCCTGGGCAGGGAGGATGGGGATGTTGGGGCCGCTGCTTGCCTTCTGGGGACGTTGACTTTAACCGGACATCCTGTCTCCAGCATGGCCGAAGCCTGGCCCTGCACCACCTCCAGGAGCTCTGGGGCTACCTTCGAAAGTGGCAGGTAAGGCGGGCCTTGGGTGGAGCCACTTTCTCCTGGAGGGAAAGGGACTAAATAGGGACAGAGGTGCTCGGTGGGCTAGGAGAGCCCCAGGGGAGAAGGGGGACTGGACCACACCACACCAACTTGGAGGGATCTGGCTGGTATGTCCCAGTCCCATCCCCTCTGTGGTCCCTCTAGGGGTACCAACCAGCTCAGTACAGGCTCCTGGCTCTGCATTTCAGCACACAGCTCAGCCCCTTTCTGGCTGTGTGACCTCAGGCTGGCAGCCTCCCCCTGGAGTTGACTTCACTTGTCTAGAAATGGGAGGTGGTGATCCTCCCCCTGCCCCCCACCCCAAAACCCATGTAAAAAGAAAAGAGTCTCAGGCCCCTCTATACTAATAATGGTGATAAGCCACCATTTATTGAGCCCTCACTAGGCCCTTGTGGGTAGTCTTAACATGTCCTCCCAACAACCTTGTTAATGCTGTTGCTATTGAGCCCATTTCACAGACTGGGAAACAGAGGCCCCAAGTGCTGGAGCTGCTTCCCCAGGGCACAGGGCCAGGAAGAAAGGGAGCCGGGCTGGGAGCCCAGGCTGCCTGGCCTCTGAGGCCCCCTTTCAGCACTCTTCAGGGAGCTTAAGGGCCTGCGGGTGGGACTGACCTATGCTTCCCCACCTAGGCCATATTTGACAAGTTCGACCAGGATGCCTCTGGAACCATGAACTCCCACGAGCTGAGGCTGGCGCTGAATGCTGCAGGTATACAGACAGAGGTCCTGGGGTGGGTCGTGGGGGCAGGACCAGCTCCCGCTCTGGCCCCAGCCTCTTAAGAGTTCCAGCAGCCCACTCAGCTGGCGACATCGAAAGCTGACATCTTAGCTTGTTGCCAGCTCTTGGCAGGGATTGTGTGACCCTGAGAGGCCTATGGGGAGAGTCCTCTGTGTGAGAAAGGGAGGGTGTGGGAGGCGGGTGGGCTGGGGAGGGTGTGGGAGACCGGGGCATCCCAGGCACTGTGGCAGTGTGTCCTGGATTCCCCTGAGATGGGGTTGGAGTCCTAACTACTGACTTACTCCTTGGGGGCCCTGGGCACGTGAGTCCACCTCGTTGAGCCTCCATTTCCCTCTGTAAAGTGGCTCCAACACAGGATGGCTGCAAGAGTGCGGCCTTCCTCCTTGTGTGGTGGGGGCTGGGAGCGGGAATGACAGGAATGCCCAGATCCTCATCTACCCCAAGTGGAGTGATGGGTGAGACATGGGGAGGTCGAAGTTCCAGGGACCTGCAAGTAAAGCAAGGAGCCCAAGACCGAGGGGAGGGGATGGAGTCAGAGAGAAGATGGGGAGACGTGGGACAGTGAGAAACAGAGTCCCGTCAGAAGCAGAGGCAAGAGAGAAGGGGAAGATGCAAATTTGTACTGTTCATTCAGTATCTCTGAGCGCCTGGTACATGCCTGGTGTTCTAGACAAGAGAAAACTGATCAAGTGCTCCTGAGGGGCTGCCATTCTGGGAGGTACAAACAACAAATAAAACACCTTGGTCAGACGGTGATCAGCACTAGGGCAAAAGAAGAAAGCAGGCCAGGGTGCGAGGGCATGCAGGGGCGGGGCGGGTGAGCCAGGCGGTCAGGCAAGGCCTCGCTGAGGTTTGACTGGGGACCGGAGGAGCGAGCCTTGGGGACAGGGGGCCAGGGGTGTTCCAGAGGGAATAGCCAGTACAAAGGCCCTGACGTGTGAGCCTGCGCCCCGAGGAGGCTGGTGGGGAGGGAGCCGAGTGAAAGGAGGGGCCCTGTGATAGAGATGAGGACAGAGGGCCAGGGTGGCTGAAGCCAAGTGGGAAGGAGGTGGTCAGAGGAAAGACTGGTGATGGTGGTGGTGGGGGGAGACAGGAGCACCACGAGGCGTCATAAGGACTTTGACTCTTTTTAAAATTTTAAAATATGTATGAGAGGAGAGAGGGGGGCAAGGCCGAGATCAGGGTGCATGGGGCTGAAGCAACGGCTGTGTCTGGAGGAGGGAATGCCAGGGAGGGGACCAGGAGGAAGCAAGTGCCAAGGCCCAGGCCCAGGTGGGCAGTCTCAGGGCGGGCGGGATGGGCAGCAGAAACAACCTGCTCCAATCCAGCACCTTCTTTGCTCCACAAGCATTCCCTGAACACCTGCTCTGCTTGAGGGCCTGGGCGGGCTGATGTTGGGGATCTACTGGTGACCACAAATGCTTTCTTGACCCCCTGCAGCTTCAGTCCAGGGGCAGCCTGAGCTACCAATGACAGTGACAGTCCAGAGTGGCCACTGCGGGGTGGCTGAGGCCCAGAGAGCTTTGAGAGCGGAGGAGATGCTCAATGCGGCTATTCTGGGCAGAGGGGACAGTACGTGCAAAGGGGGCAAGAGGTCAGAGGTCCAACTGGAAGAGGAGGAAGAGTGGGAGGCGAGGTTTGGTCTGTGAGGGCCGCCATGTGCTTGAGACAATGGAGCCGTTGGGCGGGTAACAAGGTCATGGTCACTAGGGCCCAGTAAATTAGGTGAAGGACTTCACTAGTACGAGGGGACCCTGGGCAGGATGCCACACACCAGGCACCACAGGACGTAGGACCTGTGAAAGTGGTCAGAGGAAGCTGACAGTTCCCATGAGAAAAACAAGAATTCCAGAGTGGGCAGCTGAGGGGCTCTTGGTTCCCTCCCCGACCCCACCTCCACCCTGAGGGCAGATGAAGGCCAGAGCTCCTACCTGTCAGGATGAGGTGGCAGCCCCCACCCCACCCTAGACTTTTGGGCACAGAAATGTGATGGCACAGGATAATTGTTAAATGAATGTGGGGGCGGGGGGTTGCGGGGTTGTGGGGGGAAGGCGTGGGAAGATGGGCTTTAGGAGGCAGCAGAGGCCCATGAAATTATCTTGGAACTGTGTTTATCTGGCTCTGTGAGACCCAGAGGAGAGTCACCCTGCAACCTTGAGTCTCAGAGGGTTGCCTGTAACATGGAAGAACCAGCTTTTGCAGCTTTAAGAAGCCTGTTGAGATTCCTCATCAGAGATGTTTTCTAAACTTTAAAACTCACCCCTAATGTGGAGTATAAAGAAACTGACTCCATATGGGACAAGAATGTTTTGCACAGAAATATTCCCTGGGGTCCACTAGCAGAATCCTGCGGTTTAAAGGAATAACACTGACATAGTTTCTACATGCCAGACAGTGTCCTAAGCTTTACACAGAACATCTTCACATAACCTTATAGAGTCAAGGCTGCTATAGTCCCCACTTGACAGATGAGGAAACTGAGGCCCATGGCCACACACAGCTGGGTTGAGGGAGAGCTGCAATTTAAGAGGTAGGAACAAGCCCCTGTGGTATCTGTGTCTCCCCAGAGAATCAGGGTGGGGCACCGCCCTGAGGTGGGGTTCTTGGCAGCCCAGGCTCAGAGGCGACCTCTTCCTAGGCTTCCACCTCAACAACCAGCTGACCCAGGCCCTTACTAGTCGCTACCGGGACAGCCGTCTGCGTGTGGACTTCGAGCACTTTGTGTCCTGTGCGGCCCAGCTTACCTACATCTTCCGTGAGTGCCACCCCTGGCATGGGTGGGACACAGGGAGGGTGTCTCCCACAGCAGGGGGACTGGGGCGGTACTGCTCACCCGCCTCTCTCTGCACAGGCCACTGCAGCAGGCACCTGGATGGGGGTGAGGGGGTCGTATGCCTGACCCACAGACAGGTAAGCTCAGGCTGGAGGGAGAGGTGGCACAGGGCAGCGCAGGCAGCAGTCCCAGGAGACCCCCGCCTCAACCTGTTGTCTTTTTTCGTCCAGTGGATGGAGGTGGCCACCTTTGCCTAGGACTTGGCACAGGAGTGCCTGTTGCTGGAGGCAGGAGAGCTGCTGGGAGCCCCGTCTCTCTGCCTGTCAGCCTGGACCAGGGTTTATTCCACAGCGGCAGGGCTCTGAGCAAAACCAGCCTTCCCCGACATTAGGCAGTGGTCCAGGCATGGCCTCGGGAGCCGGCCCGCCTGGAGTTATTTCTGGCCCCACCATTCACTAGCTGAGTGACAATGGGCAAGTCACTGCACGTCTGTGCTTTGCTTTCCTCACCTGTAAAACAGGGACGATAGAACATTCTTCTTGGCCAGGCTACATGAGTTAGTCAATATTGCATACTCTGAACAGGGCCTGGTCCTAACCGGGCCCCCAGGAACACTTTCATTTTACACACCTGTGGGAACAGGGACTGTGGCACCCCCAGGCCCTACCTCCTCTGGAAAGAGGTGCTCTATTACAGCTCTGTTAAGAAGCGGAGAGCAGAGATAGGAGAAAGAGAGGACACTGTAGACTCCTTCTTAAAAATATTACATGTTTTATTATCCTGTCCCCAGAAGGGTGGTTTATCCAGAAACCGAGAAAAAAAAAATTACCAATCAGAATAAACCAAAAGAAAAGGGGAGTGGGGGCGGGAATAAAACCACCAACTAACAGGTAGCCAGGCCAGCAGCCCACCCTCCACTTCAGGAGGGTCCCCAGAGACCCATGCCCTACGACAGACAACAGAAAGAAATCAGTACGGGACAGGGGGAGGGAGCAAATCAGCTATGTCTTCATTATGAGAGCAAGAGGTGGCAAAGATGTGTTGTTGCTAGGTGAATATACATTTATATAATAAATCCGTAAGTTAATAAAGTAAATAGTAATTCTCTGAAAGTTTTAAATTTTTTTTATAGCTTTTTTTGCGATTTTTGTTTTGTTTTTTTGGTTTGGTCCTTAGAAAATCTGAGACGTAGGTCCAGGCAAAGCAAGGTGGGAGCTGGTTGGGGCAGGGGCAAAAGGCTGGTCTGCCTGATCGCACTCCTCTGCTGCAGAAAAGGGGGGCATTGAGCTGCACCCCCCACCCCCACCCAAAAATCAGAGAGGAGGGGAAAGGGGTGAAGGGAGCAGGGTGGGGTCCTCTTTCCTATTGGGTAGCTGTGGTGCCCTCTGCTGGGCCCATCGCAGGCATGAGCAGTTCCTGGAAAAGGCACATAGGGCCACGCAGGGCTTTGGCCTGGATGTGGGAGGCCTTGAAGGGACCTCAGGAGCAAAGGAAGGGGCAGGGTGTGGCAGGTATTCTTAGGGCTCAGAGGGGACCTGTTTTGCTGGGGATCCACTGTCCCCTCCACATAGTTAAAAAAAAAATACATCATATATATTTACCAGACCAGAAGTGCTGACCCCAAAAAGGCTCCTGTACCCCTAATCCAGGGGGAGGGGGAGAGAACCTCCTGGCCAACTGACAAAGAGAGAGGAGAGAGCCTGCCCCAGCCCCTCCCTGCCCACCCCGCGCCCCACCCCCCCAGAAAGGACCGACAGAGTGCTTTGCATAGATAGAGTCAGAGGAACAGGACCAAGGAGGTCCTGCAGCAGGGAGAGGGGCTCCCCTAGCCCCTCCTGGAGGCCGAGGAGGGGGTGTTCAGTCAGGGCTCTCTGTGCGGGCCTCACAGGTCGCTCTCGCCATATAGGGCTGTAGAGAAGGACTTGTAGTCAAGGGCACCAGGCACTGCATCAGGGCCCTGGTATGGTGCCATGCGGGCGATGCAGTACTCGGCCTGGTCAGGGGGCAGCTCTCTCCGAAGCTCCTCAGCTGTGATGAAGTTCTGGAGGTGGCAGGGTGGGACTTAGGGCAACCTGAAGCCCACACTGGTCCCACAGCCCCTGTGCCCAGTCCTGGCTGCAGAGCCCTGCCCTGCCCGCACCAGGTGCTCAGAGGTGTCTGGCTTACCTTGTCCCCAGCCAGGACCTTGAAGGAGGCAATGACCTGGTCAGCTGTGTCTGTATCGGTGGTCTCCCTGGACATGAAGTCAATGAAGGCTTGGAAGGTCACGAGGCCACTGTGGTTGGGGTCAACCACGCTCATGATGCGGTTGAACTCAGCATCGCCCTGCGAGGCGGGAGTGGGGCAGGGGACAGGCAGCATTTGAGCGGGGCAGGATGACTGGGCCCATGTGGCAGAACCAAGCTAGGAGGGCAGGGCCAACCCCAGCGCACATGCCAAGTCATCAGCCCGCCTCCAATGGTCTTGGCTCCCCGGGTGACTGCCCCATGTGCCCCCGACTGGGAACAGGTACCCTCTACTCCTCCCCTCCCACGTTTTTGGGAAGTGGGGAGTGGGGTATACATCAAACAGGTTTGATGCTCCTCAGCCCTAGGCTCACAAGTTAGCTCTGGAGGGTGGGGAAGAAAGAGAGAAAGAGAAAGAAAAGGGGGAGAGAACCAGAGGCCTGATCTCTCTCTGCAGACTTCCAAGAACAGGGTGGGAAGCTCAGGGAGTCATCGGAGGGACCCCAGACCAGCAGATGCAGCAGGAGGAGGAGGGGGTGAGGCTGCACTGATCTGGTGGAGGGGTGTCCCCGAGGACGTGGAAACTCTGGATGGGGGTTAGCACGAAAAGGAGGAGGAAGCGGGGAGGGGTGGGGAAGAGGGAGAGGAAGAAGGGTGGGAAGAGGGAGGGGAGGAGGGGGAGGGGAGGGGGAGGGGGAGGGGAGGGAGGGGGAGGAGGAGGAGGAGGAGGAGGAGGAGGAGGAGGAGGAGGCGCAGGAGCAGGAGGAGCAGCAGGAGGAGCAGGAGGAAGGGAGTGGCATAGCAGCGAGGGAGGCAGAGGCTGCATACCAGGCTGTATCCTGTGGAGATAAGCAGAGCCCTGAAGTCATCGGAGTCCATGCTGCCTGTCTGTTTCTGCTCGAGGACGCAGGGACAGCAGGAGGCCAGGCCCAGAGTAGGCAAAGGGGCCACCCCATGTGCACAGCAGGGAAACAGGACAGTGGCAGGAGCAGGGGAGACAGAAGCGGCCCCAAGAGACCAGGTAAGGGGAAAGGGTCCAGAGAGACACAGGTAGGAAGGAGGCAAGGGAGCCAGTGAGATGGCACACACAATGGCGAGGGGGGAATGGCGAGGGTGGGGAGACAGAGAGGAGGAGAGAGAGAAAGAAGAGCAGTTAATGCCATGGTTCGCTGGGGCCCAGGGGATGCATACCTGCCGGTCATTCTCCACATCGTAGCCCAGGCTGATGAGGCAGGCCTTGAATTCCTCTGGCCCCAGTGCCCCGCCGTGGTCCTGCCAGGTGTCCAAAGGCAGGTGTGCAAGGGGCGGTGTGGAAACCAGGCCAGCGCAGAGGTGGGGAGAAGGGCCAGGGTTACATGCAGAGGGCAAGGGAGGGGAACACATGAAGGAGGGAAACAGAGTTAGAGGTGATGGGAACAGGGTGATGGCCAAGGACAGTTGGGGCAGGTGGAGAGGTGTGGGTGGCCTGGAGGGCAGAGGTCTCCTCCCACCTCCTCTCCTCTGGGCGAGAGCAGGGGTGGGAGCTGAATGGTGCAGAATTGAAAATTGAGTCCCAGGACTCGGAGGAAGGGGAGAGCACACCTCGCCTCCAGGGTATGGGGTGGGAGAAAAGGTACTGCACCCCACCCTGCTTGGAACGTGAGGGTCCCTGCTTGACGGTGTAGGGCTGAGGCTGCACATTCCTATCCACAGGAAGAAGGCAGGTTACATATCAGGCCCTGCAGTAAATGAGGACTGGGGAAACACTGGCACTCTGGCCTTTCTAAAGGGGCTGCCAGGCTAAACCTGAATTTTAAGAACACTATGTGTAAGTGTGGACCAGGTTCATAGGCCAGGGCTCAAATCTGAGGTGTGCTGGTATTTAGTCTGTCCCAGGATCTCACAGGCAGGTTGACAAGGGTGCACAGCTGGAAGGAGGGCTTGGGAACCCCTTTCTCCTCCCAAGGGAAATCACTCACGCTGTGGGTCAAGGTGATGCACGTCTATACCCCCCTTCCATGGCTGAGGCCCTGCCAACCCCTGTGAATGGTGGCTGATAACATACCAATTGTGATGTGAATGAACCGACAGATGCAAAGATGGAGGGAGGAAGATGAGACAGTGACAATGGTGGCAGTGGAGAGGGAACATGCCAAGGGGCAGAGGGAGTTGCTAACCTTGTCAAAGTGGTTGAAAGATGCCCGGAACTCCTGCATCTGCTCCTGGCTGATGCCCTTGGCATCTCGGGTGAGAATCTGGTTCTCAACCTCATTGATGGTGCGGGCGATGGTGGTAAGCAGCTGCTCCCAGCCCACACGAATGTGCTGCGGGAGGAAGGAGGGTACGACTGCAGGCAGGGCTAGTGGAGGTGCTAGGACCACCATAGCTGCAGCCTGAGGGGGGCTTGGAACTGGGTTCTCCTCACAGGGAGGAGGTGTGTGGCTAGGAGCGAGGCTCACCTTAACTCTCTCCCAAATGCTAGTCCAGGCCCATGCTCTCTTGTGCACCTCATCTTCACAAAGGAGCACAGGCATGGCGCCCACCTGCTGTCTCTGCCCAACAGCAGGGTTCGTGTCACCTTAGTATATATCTGGTGACAGAGGTAGCAGGGGGCCAGGGCCCAATACCTGCGCAGGGTCCATGTGGAAACTTTGCAGAGGTATGCTGGTCAATGTTTAACTGGTTTTCTGGGGAGAAACCCCCCCGCACCTTGGGCATCTGGTGTGCACAGTGTAAATACTGTCACCATGGACGATTTCAAGCTACCAACATGATGGTGACCAGCCCTGGCGGTGTAACCCCGACAGAGAGCAGGTATGCATGGACTCCCGCACACACTGGCTGGATCTGTGTCCTCAAGTGAGAACCAACTGCTAAGGCCACAGTGAGGGCAGGTGCTGCCCTCCTAGCTCTCTCAAAAGCTTGTCCTGAGATGTGTTGTCATGGTGATGGGAGCACAGTGTTAAGGAAACAGTGATTTTTAAAAATGTGTACACATTTTGATCTAGTCTTTTCAGTTGGAGTGAAAGAGGAGATACAGGAAGCAGCAGATG